CAATATAACCCACTGTTTAGTTTTAGTATGAGTTTTACAGCACTTGCACAACAAATAAGTAATACAAATGTCTAAGATTAGAGGTGTTATTAGAGAGTAACGAATACAAAGAAAAGAAGAAGGAGAGATAAAGATGACAACATGTTTGAACAAAAAAGAAGGAGAAAACCACAACAGAGCACCTGCCAACCACCCACAACAACATATATAGCACCGAGAGGATAACTACCAACCTGGTTTTCCCTGTCAATGTCAATCCTGTGCCATTTGCCGTCACTCAGCTTGTTCAAACGCTGGAACCCACTTCTGTCTATGCCATTCAGAGCCAGCAGTAGCTATTTTCAAAGACAAAGAAAATAAATATTCATAACATATGTCTCATGATGTGGTAGAATCAGGCGCTCGTCAATTTTTTGGCATATAATGGAATTATTGGTATCACCTTAGAGCCTGTCCATTTGCCTTGCTTTCGATGGAAACAATACCCATTTATCTTGGATACAAGTTGAGATATTTGTGATTGAAGGATGTGGGGTCACCTGGTTTTAGGGGTAAAATTAGCTATTTTGATAGATCAGACAGAACATTTGGTTTCTGACCGCATGGTCTTAGTAACTCAAAACGGTCAAAAATGTCAGATAAAACTTTGTAATTCTGAGGTAGTGACTAGCCCCAAATCAAAGACCAGCACTATCAACATGTCTTGAGTTCATGCTGATTGCCTTAGACGCTTTGTGTTGTATTTAATTGAGGCCTAAGAGATCTCATCAAACACGGCAAACTAAGTCTCCTTGTAGACAATAACTTCTTGACCTTTTCACATTTTTGCTGTTCATCTGTTTCTTCATTCAATTTAGTTTTCCCTTAATTTTAATTTTTTTTTGCTGAATAACATGAATGTAAACAATTTGCAAGGTGACGCTATGGCAAGTGATTTGATTATATCGATGCCAACTTGTGCATGTCTTTTTTATCAGATAAACTGCCCTAGCATTATACCAATTGTCAAATATTTCCTATTTATTATAATAGCAATGACAACAACAACAAAACAACAACTATTATCATCACATAATGGATGCATACCATAGCTACGGGTCAATATAAAAGTAGAACATTGCAGAGTGCACACCAACATCGATCTGTGTCTCATGGTCTTTGCCAGGACATTTACTTTCATTTTCTGAAATAACCAATAAGGCTATAAAACATTCCGATTAGATTGGGCGAAAATATTTTACCCAAACTTTTTTAGATGCAGCCATTGTATGCGAAAAGAAATATATATATATTTTTACTTTCAGGAGAGAGGAATACATTTGAAGGTAAGGAAAAGAGGACAGCGGCAAATACTAACCTCTCCAGCTCCAAGATTGATGCGGAACTCAGGGAAACCACCAACCAGCTGTAGCGACATGAAATCCTAGAAAGAAAGCAAGTGGTAGAAAATTAGCAATTGGCAACGACACATTTCTCACACGTCACTACGCAAAGTGTCCTTTCAGTCCAGGAAAGCATTCAAATATAATGGATACTCAACGGAGAGTGTAACGAAACTCTTACTAAAACAAAGAGATGTAATACTTTAATAGGCATTTTGATGTAAAATAACTTTAATCATTGCCTTGGCGCATCATCTTTGATTTCTTTACTTTAATCACTTGACAAAAACACAACCTTAAAACTAGCTTATTCATTCCTCCAGTCTCAAACTAAACCAAAAATGAAATTCATGAAAGGGAAACAACCTTCCTACCACTTACCTTGGAATCATCCAGTTTTGAGATAGGGCCTGTGTACATCAAAATACCGTCATCCTTCTCAGTGATGAACTCAAAGGTTGTGCGGCCTTCAGCACACACAGACAGACCCTTATAGAAGCTAACGCTGGAGCCGTCAAAATGGTGGCGCAGCTGCTGGCATCTGGGACCGTCAAAGCCTGGGAGGCAGGCACACCTGAACATGCAGAGGAGTTCCCATCAGAAGGGCATGTGTTGAAGTCATTACTGCTATAAACTAACAAAACACCCTTTTCTTTAATTCACAGCAGTTTTGAGATAAAGAGGCTTTTTGTCAGCGTAACCATTTAAAAAGGCGTTCTTCCGAAATTTGAATTCTAATTTATTTTAAAAACTAGTCAAAGTTTCACTTTGATTTTTTCACACAAGTAGGGTAACTGACCAGGCTTTTGATTTAGCAAATAAAAAAATTTGGTGCCAAAAACGAAAAAAAAAGAGGTGTTTTGTCAGCTTACGGCAGTTTACATAGTATTTTCAACACTGTTTAAGATGGTTATTCATTGTCGAGCAGAAAAGTGGCTGTCTTAGACAGGTGGCTGTCTAATACAGTGTTATGATAATGTAAAAAGTACAGAAGAGAGGAAGTGGCTGCTTGTTCAAGTGATTGTCTTATACAGGTGGCCGTTAGAGCAGGTTTGACGGTATTTTCAAAAGAAAAAATCTAAAATAAATAATCATGCTGTGCGCTAGCTCTATAAAAATGACATACAGTTACTAGGGTACGTACAAAAGAAGTTTGATTGCCGACTACTTCAATAATTTCAACAATTCAAATATTTTGCATTATATGATGTTCATAACAGTCACGCTGAGGATTACACAAAGTTTGAATAGACTCGCAAACATAGAACCTTCTATATCTTATCGTAAATGTGGTCACCAGGTGGTTTGCACCCAGTCACTGGGGAAAGGGTTAAGTGTAAGTATACTGATTTTGTTGCACTGTAAAGACAAACAATATACTGATTTATCAGTACACAAAATACACACAAAAACCCCCAACGTATACCCGATATAGATTTTTCCCAAAGTCATCAAACTAAATAATGTTGTAATAAGATAGCTCTATCACATGTAGTAAGCAGCACATCTTTCCACTTTTCTTCCTGCACCGAGGCGGGCCACATACATGAGCTGACCTCACCAGCCGAATCTGACCCATGGGTAATAGTTTGCCGACCCCTGCCTGAGCCTTTACGTGGCTCCTTCGCTCACTACTCACGTCAGTTTCCCCCAATCATCTTGCTTGCAGGTGCCTCCGTTGAAACAATAATCTCCCCTGCACTCTTGCGGCTGGGGGAACATGGGGTCCTTACAGCCTGACTCGGCAGACAGCAGCACTTCAGCTCCGACATAGCTGGTACCGTTGGAGTTTTTCAGGACGGGCTGGCCGGTGACATCGAAGTTGGTGCTGCAGCCATCGTCATAGAGTTCATCCATGCACAAGTTGATGGGGTTTTGATCTATCCCTACACCGAGGTTTTGAACCATCTGTGGGTGATATCGATTGCGTTTGAGTAAAATAAACTGTCTTTGTTTGCTTGCCTCCCTTTCTACACAATAACCTCGATTTAGTGCTAGGAAAAAGCTAGATATGTTTGTTTGCTTGAAGAAATTAAAGAATTTCCACACAACAACTGCAATAAAGCTCAGGGAAAAAGCAAGATAGGCAGACAGAAACAGCTTTTGTTTTTAAAAGTGTTTTACAGCATTTGCAAAACAATTAAGTCATGTAGGTGTCAAAGATTAGAGACGTTACACAAAAAAGAAGAAGGGGCAATAAGGACAATAGATGTTTGATAGGACAGAAGGAAGAAAACACCAGAACACCTGCCAACTACAAACATAAAAACAACTGCTTGACCAGAGAGACAACACGTAGAAGCTAAGAATGGCGCCCTCCAACTATTCCTTGTTTGTCTTTGCCTTTGTACGAGGCCTTGCTAAGCACAAACAGGTCATTCAAAGGTGTGGCGCTCATATGACCGTATGCAGTTGCGAACACCGTAAAAACTTTACTAAATCTAATAAAAATTCAAAAGTGGAGCACAAGGCTTAGTGGGAAGATGAGCAGTGAAGAAAGATGAGTGAAAGTAAAGTATAGCCTTCCAATTCAAACTGCTTGACCAGAGCGCAACAACTGGACATGGAGGGGGGAGGGGGGAGGATGTGAGAGTCACAGCGGGTTTGATGCTATGCCCTACAGCAAGAGAAAACAGCTAGCTGTGATTGTTGAGGTGTGCGTAGAGAGGGTGGATGAGTGAGTGAGCGAGCGTGTGTGTATGTGGTAGGGGGGGTGTGTGGGTTAGTGTGTTTGTTTGTGTGTGTGTTTTATGTGTATGGAGAGTGAGAGCGTCTGTGGGGTGGGCGGGGAGTGGGTTGCGGGTATAAGGGGAGTAAAAGGGAATGGGGTGAGTGAGGGGAACGCCTCTTCTACAGCTGTACATAACAAACAATGTTCTGATGAACAGGTGGTGTTGCAGCTGTTTAAAATACACGCACACACACACAGACACACACACACACACACACA